CTTGCATTTGTTTTCTTTCGTCACTGTCATAGTCGACCCCAAGACGGTTTCATAGTCGACTGCTTGAAGAGCGAGAAATTCAACGAAATTAAATTTGTGGACGATCGTAAATGGACTGCGTGTAACTTGTACCTCGGACTACTAATACTTGTATTACTAGTCTGAGCTTGTACTGAATGCAAGAGACCGTTTATATTTGCTATGGGTGGTGACAATTATGCAAATTATCTGTCTATTATGTCTTTGGCTGATTAATTAAAACATAGCTTTCAAAACAATGACATGTGCTTTTGTTTTTAATTAACAAAAATTGATTTTTACACCCTATAAAAACATTCATTCACTTTTTTTCCTACTGAGTGTTTGCTCCTTGTAGTCCAGCATTGAAAAATACAAAAAAGTAGAATTTTGGGTTTCAAAGCAAAAACATAGTTAAACTCTGGTGACCTTGCCCTTTGTTATATAATATAATTCCCTTTAACATGTTTTGTTTCAATATAAATATGCATTGTCATAATTAATTTTCAGTACAAACAAGTTTTGGGGTTGAACCAACAGTGGGGAATCAGTCTACCGAATGTCCTTTAAAGATGTAAATATCTTACAAAAACATTGGTGCCTTATTTGTTTAATTATTTTAAGGGACATAATTTCCAGCTTTAATCAAAGTAATTCAGATATTTCAGTATAAAAACAAACAACGACAACAACAACGACAACGCCTGGACAAAATTTTTCCCTTAATATACCTTTCCCTTCCATCTTTGATGGTACGGGCAAGGTAAAAAGGTGTACAGCATCCTTAAGCCCTATTTATATTAGTAAAAGCTCTCACAAGTTTTTTGCTAACAGGGACCCAAAAAATAGATATGAACACTCTTGTATGTTAAAGTATTATCAAAATGAACTGAACTTACCACATATTTAGAGTGTCCATCTCCTACCGTTTTCGCCGATATGATTTCAAAATTTGTTCTCTCAGTATGTATTTTGCCACTGTGACGGTACCTTCCTGTGTTGTTGCTTTGCGTGTTTAGATCACATGGTCTGACGTATCCAGTGTCTGTTAAAATAGTAAAAGATATAATATGGTTTGAAGGAATATTCAAGGGGGTAGCAAGTGAAGAATCTAGTATTCTGTTTGTCAGAGGCCTTCTGTGCTGATATTTTCTAGACAAGACCAAATTCTAGGATGACACATTTGAGGGCAGACTTGCGGTTTTTAACAAGAACTCGAAAATATCACTTTTTACCAAAAATTACAAAAAATATTCATAGAAATTTGAGAATTAAAGATATCACAAAACAAACAAATCTAAGAGAGGTCTGCCCAAGGTACATATACACCAAGTATCAAAGCAATAAGGCTTGTAGTTTTCAAAAAGAAGTCTATTTAAAAAGTTTAAACAGATGATATGATATGATAAGCTCCACTCGACTAAGTCGACAGCAAAGCTAAAAATTTACTCTCGGACTACATTCAAATGAGAAGAAATTTTTATTGGCAAGAGGTGCCTTTTGGTTAAATATTCATGACTCGTGAGTTTCTGCACCATTCAGTAATATCATGACCGCTTTAAGTGAAACACAGATTCCATCAAATTTATTCAACATGTGTCAAATTAATTGTTTGCCAGTTGTATGAGTTGTATCATTACTGCATTTTGCTACAGAACATTTAAATTATTAAACCAATTTATTTTCAAGTAGCAAAGACATTTTTTTGGAAAAGCTATTCCGAGGCATTATTATTTGTCAAGTTGTTTTCAACCTTCAACATTCATAAATATTTTAAAAGACCTATAAAACTGATTAAAGATAAGGGATAACAGTGCTACAGTACTAGTATAGGAGCTGTATTTTGAATTCATCTGAAAAGAATATACATATCGTTTTAGCAAACCCAAAATGAAAATGCCCTTGTGTGAAATGAATTCAGTATTTTTTGATGTTTACTCAACATCCAAAATAGTAACAGTTTCAGTTGAACGAAATGTACAATAAACATTCAAATTCAAAAGCTTTTCAGCAAGCCTAAATAGTGTTCAAATGCACATGGATTCACATAAATTCACTTCAAATTTCCGCGGGCTACAGTAAGAAACTTGCACAAATTCAGAATATCAAATATTTCAAATAATACTCCCAAGACTCCAATAAAGCTCTATGAATGATCTCAGAGTACAAGTATAAGGAGTTGACCATTAAAACTACGGAAGGAGATATGGTAGAAACGTTTTTCTGAATCGTACACCCCCCTAGTTTCTAATGGTCAGCTCCTAAAACAGTTTTGTTCTGGGCGAACATTCGTACACTAACAGTTTTGAGATAATTTTTACAAAACGGTATAAATTTTTACTGGAAAACTAATTATTATGCAACGCTGTGGACATAAAACAGACAAGCAGACACATGGTATTTTAGGGTCAGTAATCATATCGCAGTAAGCCATAAACAGCGATATATCTTTCCCTTGCAGGCTCAACAAGAATGTCTGCAATGTAAACAACGAGAGCTTTCTCACATAGCGTTTCAAGACGCTTCGAAGTAATAATGCAGATAGGCGCGTCTTCATTAAAAAGAGTAGTTTACCTATCGCTGTCACTTGTGGCGTTTTTGCTAACTCCTCGCCGGACGGACTATTGAACGTCAGAGTTCCACTAAAATTGAGTTCTAGTTCATCCTCATCCTCGCCAAGTTCCAATTCGCTTTCGGTATCGGAGCTTATAGGGTCGTCAATGCTGATCTCACATGGTATCTTCTTACGCGGTGTGGCCATGTTGTTTGCAAGAAATACATCATTTCCATTTGTGAAATAAACAAACGTCAACAAGATATCTGCTGCCGACTCCTATTCCAAACCTCATCCCTATAGCAGCTGTCAGCCATTTTGTCCCCCGTATGTTTGTTCGGTATTGAATAATGAGGTCAATGACCTTGTGTAATTTTAGTACCTTATGATTTGATATCATGAAATATAATGCAGTTGGATAGTCGGTATAACATGAAAACTCTGTATTATAAATTGTTTTATTTGTTGAAATAATACAGTAACATTTGGTATTGAGACTGGCCTTAATGAATTTTTAAATATATTTAAGCAACGTTGCAGAGAGATAGACTCGCAACAGTGGTCAACTGCAGTAAATGGCAGCCCAAAACTTGTAACATATAAATGTTTTAAAACCATTTTGGCTGCGAGAGTTATTTACGCAATTTTGATAGATCACATTTGTTAATGTGCTTTGTAAGTTTAGAATATCAGCACATACTTTACACATTGAGACAGGCAGGAGACAAAACGTTTCTAGAAATGAACGTTAACTGTAATTTTTATCGTGATACCGTTGAAGACGAGATTCATTTCCTGTTATGCGGTCCACTTTATTCTGACATAAAGAAAACATACTTACCAATTTATTATAATACTTAACCAGATCCAATTAAATTTAATAACTTAATGAAAACAAATAACAAACATTTACAGAGAAACATAGCATGCTATTTAATACAGACATATAATATACGAGATAGTA